CCCCCCCCCCCCCGCCCCCCAGGCAGGGCAGATCCCGCCAGCTGTGCGGGCTGGTCAAGGGCCATTCCCTCCCGTGTGCGGTGTGATGTGCATGAGCTGACCACTGGCAGCTTTGGGGCTCTTTAAAACGTAAAGGGAAGCCCGGCCGGCCTGGCTCAGGGGTTGAGCGTCAACCTGTGAACCAGGAGGTCAGGGTTCGATTCCTGCTCTCAGGGCACAGGCCCGGGTTGCAGACTTGATCCCCAGGGTGGGGTGTGCAGGAGGCGGCCGACGGATGATTCTCGCTCATCCTTGATGTCTCTTATCTCTCTCTCCCTATCCCTTCCTCTCTGAAATCAATAAAAAAAAATCTATAATAATAAAACCATAATATGCTGATCAGACCAGACAGCCAAACGACCTTCAGGACAGAAGCCAGGGCTGCGAGGGCCGAGCCCCCTGCACAAATTTCGTGCATCTCACCAAGCACCCCGAGTTCACGTGGGATGGGATCTGGGAGGTGTGGGGCTTTGCCCCGTGAGCGGCGTGCCACGGAGCTGCTCAAGGTCGCCAAGGACAAGAGGGCCCCGAAGTTCATCAAGAACGGGGTGGGGGCACACATCGGTGCCAGGGGAGGAGCTGAGCGAGGTCCCTGCAGCCGTGAGGAAGGCAGCAGCCGAGAAGGACGGAGCCCCATCCCCTCTGTGTAATAAAACCTGTTCAGAGAGAAAAAATGAAAGAAGAGCCCGGGGCAACTGGCCCAGATCCATGCGCTGCCCACATGCCAGGCCGGTGCTGGGCTGGGCGGACTGCCCCAGGGCCCAGCCGGGGAGGGAGAACAGCTAAACCACAGGCATGTATACAACGTGCCCGCCACCGTGGCGTCACCAGTCACTGGGAGCCGCCAGTTAAAATGTCTCCTCTCGCTTATATTCTCTTCTTCCGCTTCAGAAAATCGTACGCTTACACTAATATTTGTCTCCAAAGGTTGCTCCTCCTGCCCACACACTGTCCCTCGTCGGTCATCATGGGAAAGTCTGGGGGGAAGGTGACCGGCTACAATGGACTCAGGCTCGCTCTGCAGGCGAATTCCAATTCCTTCCCCAGCGCTCACAGCCGACAGGCATCAGGCCTCCCGCCCACAGTGATGCAGACAGAACTACATGAGCTAACCTGCTACCAGGACGGGGCTAGGAGGGTCCGGCACACAGTAGGTCCTCAGTAAAACGTGAGGACCTACTGTGTGCCACACAACAGCCTCAGCAGTTCCGAGGCATCCAATTGACAGCAGAGGAAATGCAGGCCCAAGAAATTGCCTGAAACAGAGTGGGGAGTCTTGAGGGGCGAGGGGGGGGAGCGTGGGGGAGAGGTAATCAGACAAGGACCTTGTATGCATATATGCGTAACCCATGGACACAGACAATGAGGCAGGGCAGGCTGGAAGGGGTCCATGGGGGGAAAAGGGGGATTTACATAATACTTCCCCCCCAAAAAAAGAATTAAAAAAAGAAAGAAAGTAATGAAAGCAAGGAAAAGAAATCGCCTGAGTTTCCCAGGATCCCATAGTTCCTGGTGAGCAGTCCCGGGTCCGCTTCCTCCCGCAGCCCCCGAGTCGGGAACTCGGGGAGCACACCAAGACACGCAGACTCCACGGGGTTCGTCCCAGCCGCTGCCCGTCTCACCCCCGCGGCACACTGCGCGCTCTGAGATTCTGACGGCCGTCGTTTAGTCTTTAATGCTCAGAGTTCTGAAGAGCCTGTGTCCTGTTCCTTTCTCCCTGTGAGTCAAACCGTCGTGCATCCAGTGGCTTTGAAACTAGAAGGGACGAGCCCTGGCCGGTTTGGCTCTTGGCTCAGTGGATAGAGCCTCGGCCTGCGGATCAAAAGGTCCCCGGTTCGATTCCCAGTCAGGGCACAGGCCCGGGTGGCAGGCTCGATCCCCAGTGGGGGGCATGCAGGAGGCAGCCCATCCGTGACTCTCATCATTGAAGTTTCTAGCTTCTCTCTCCCTTCCTCTCTGAAATCAATCAATAAAAAATTGAAACAGGGCTTGGATAGGCGACGAAGCTTGTGTTGTTTTCATTGCATTAAAAAAAAACAACACCCAGAAAGGACTAGACTCAAATTCAGCTTCTAAAACTTTAGAAACGACCCATCTAATTCTCAGTGGCAATATCCAGAGCGCTAAGCCGCGAGGGGATTAGAGGAAGGGTGTGGAACATCGCACCGGTCCGACACAGGAGCCTCATCGCCAGGCCCGGAGGACGCCTTAAACCGGATGAACTAAGCGCCGGAAGGAGCTGGGTTTGCACGGTTGTGAGTTTACACGGTTGTGAGACACAGCCAAGTTCCCTGGGATCAAATCAAGCGGAACGCACACCCTCCCTTCCGTTCCCGTCCCCGCTAAGTGATGCAACAGCACCTTGTCCTGCCTCACCTGCCAAATCAAAGACCCCGCCGCTCCCCGCCAACTCTCGACAGTCATTCCAGGTCAAAAGGCAGGAATGAGTGGCTCGTTGGCCAAGACCTTCAGAGCCCAGAGCAAACTGGCCAACCAGGCTGGGCCAGGGCCTGGGAAAACGCATCTCCCAGGATTCCGTCCTGGAGGCACGGAACGGTGTGGCCCAGTGGATAGAGCATCAGCCTGCGGATTGAAGGGTCCCGGGTTCAATTCCGATCAAGGGCACATGCCCGGGTTGTGGGCTCCATCCCCAGTAGAGGGCGTGCAGGAGGCAGCTGATGCATGATTCTCTCTCATCAAGGATGTTTCTCTGTCTCTCTCCCTCTCCCTTCCTCTGTGAAATCAATAAGAATATATTTAAATAGATTTTTTTAAAAAAAGCTCTATTGCAACCGCTACCGTTTCGTCTAAAAGCCGTGTCGCAACCACGCCAGACACATGGAATCTGCCCTGTCCCCGCCTTCACACAGCGGGTGGGAGAATCAACAATCAATCGCGTGCCGGCCGGGAACCTGGCGTGGGCTGGGCCCGTCCCCTCTGAGGCCACTCGCCGCTCTGTGAACACGAGCAGAGCTTTCAGGCAGTAATTCGTCCATCCCCCGAGTCCGGGGCCCGCGGGGACACAGTCTTCATCGGGGACCCCGGTCCCACTGCCGTGGGGCCCACGGATGATCTCCTTGTCACTGGACATCCCTGCAAAGACCTTTCCGTCTCCAATCAGGTCCCGTGCTGAGGTCCCCAGGGTCCGACTCCACCCTGTCCTATTTGGCGGGGGCAGGTAGGGGCCCCTGGAACATTCCCTCTTCCCCAGAGCGGGCGGAGATGTGAATCGAAGCCAGACACCTCTCCCTCGGCCTCTGCTTTCCCCTCGCCTCTGGGAAATTCCTTCTGTTCCATCTGCTCTTGCTCGAGGCCACGCCCACCATGGGAAAGCCACAGCGGGGTCGGAGAACCCCTAAAGAGGCGTCCACCCGAGGAAGATTGCGTCCGTCCCCCACCCCACCCGCCGTGTAAAGAAGGTCCCAGGGCCGTTACTCCATTAATCTGGGCAGCTGGGTTTCTGACAGCCTGTACAGTGACAGATTTGAAAAGCACCACAAACAAACACACACACACGCACACACACACACACACACACACACACTCACACCCGCTGCCCATCGGGGCCGGTTCCCGGCGTCAAACCCGACAGACACTCCGATTATGCAGCCCTTTGCAAAGCACTCCGGCCTCCACGAAGCTAATCAGACAGAGACATATTCTTCTCTCCAAAGAATGGGGGAAGACGCCCTTTCTGGGTCTGTGTCAGGCAGACAGGCCCCCACAATGAGTCTGCGTGAGCGCTGGGAAGGGGCCGGGGCACCGCGGCCTTTGTCAGCCTATCGGTCCCGCCAGACTCTGATGCAGGAAAGAGCGGGGTGATAAGGGCCCGGCGGGCGGGAGGTCCCAGGGGCCGTGGCCTCCTGCCGGCTGTGGGGGGGCTGTCAGGAGCGGGGGACCGGGCGAGAACAATGGCTGCATGCATCTCACAGGAGAGGGGAGTGGGGAGCAGGCCCAGGGCCAGGAGGCTGAGCTCACTGTCTGACAAAGGAGACCCTGGGGTGGGGAGATGGAAAGGGAGCCGGGTGGGGCCACAGGGCCCTTGGGGAGACGGGGTGCTGGTGACCTCAGAGCAGCACTGGGCGCTCTCTACCCGCGGTTTTGCAGGAGGAAAAGGAGGAAGAGGAGGAGGAGGAGCAGGAGAAGCAGGAGGAGGAAGAAGAATCCTTAAAGTGCTAAAGAATGAGCCCTTCAAAACTTACTGTTTCAGCCCACTCAGCGGGCTCAGTGGTTGAGCATCAACCTATGAACCAGGAGGTTGCGGTTCGATTCCCGGTCAGGGCACACGCCCGGGTTGGGGGCTCCATCCCCAGTCGGGGGTGTGCAGGAGGCAGCCGATCGATGATGTTCTCTCATCACTGATGTTTCTCTCTCTCCCTTTCCCTCTTCCTTCCTCTCTGAAATCAATAAAAAATATATTGGGGGGGGGGCGATTTGGTTCATGTCAAATCTCAGCGGACTGTGTCTAAAAGGTCGAGGGGAGATCTGCACAGAAGGAAGAGAGGAGAGGTTTCTGCCGCAGAAGCGAGTTCCCTCAGGGGAAGACAGGAAGCACAGCCCCCCGGTCCCAGCTCAGTGACCAGCGGGGAGGCCGACCCCGGGAAGGAGCTCGAGGCTGCGGGTGCACCTTCTCCAAGCGGCTCCGGAAACAGGCTCAACGTGGACATAAGGACTTCTGTTCGTTTCACCCAAACCTCGGCTCCCGGGAGCCAACGTGCCGCCTGGGGAGCCGTGGGGGTTTGGTCCTTAACCTGCAGCCCAGGAAGCTGCTCTGGGTGTCCGGCTCGGGCTTCCCGGGTGGGAGGCAGGAGGACGTGTTCCCCGCAGAGAAACGGAAGCAGCGAGTGGGCTCCCCGCCCGCCCACCCACCGGCTCCAAGCCCAGAGGGAGAGCCGCCCTGCCGGGGGGTTTTTTTTTCCGAGTGGCTGTCGCTCTGCATGACGGTGTCACTGGGTAAGACGCACCGTGGTGCACCGTGTTCCCGAGGATTAAACCCGGAGAGGGAAGCCGCACAGGCACCTGCTGCTCCGACGGCCACCCCTCTCCCCCTCCTCCGATGGCCACCCCGCTGCCCCCTCCCCAGCTCATTCCACCACCTGCCCAGAGGCGGCCCTGCTGCCTCCAGGGACAA